TTTTTTGGGGGGGGGGCGGAGGAAAAATAGAGAGAAGATAACCCCAATTCAGCGAGAGTCTCCGTGGAGTTGGATCGACCTACGTAGAACGATAGTTTCATTGGGAATGAACCCTAGGTCATTTTAATCAGAGACTTTCAATTGAGGAAATAAATAAGACAGACATGATAGATGCTACAATTGTATTCAGTTACTCATCTTGATGTGAATTCTTTTCATTCGTTTGGCATCAAATTAAGTTTAGATCCACTAAATGGAGTGGCTGCATTTCTTAACACTGCGTAATGCGTCTAAGAGAATTGCTTTCTTACAAAAAGTGACTTGTCTTTGATGCACAAACTGGCGGATACGTGTACAGGACTTTACTTAGATTTTTTTTTCTTTTCTAGCTTAGATAATTAAATGAGGCATATATTATAAAATAGTTGACAGACTTACTGTAATGTTGGGAACTTTTGTCTCATTTCACTTTTTATCCTTCTTTATTTTTGGGGGGTGGGGGTGGGGGGGATGAGATGTCTGTTATTTCCGAAGCAAAGGGTGGACGTGACTTACAGTGCTCCCCCCAACTTGGATCCTTGGATTAGAGTTGAAACTACGTGTGTTTGTGAAATCCTATATACATCAAACACCCTCCCTCGAAACTTTTAGTATTTCGCAACTCATAAAAAATCGTGCACGTATATAAGCATATCAGTGATACTGGTATATTTTTGTAATAGTGATTTGGATATAGATTAGTTGTCTATCGGTTTTGAGGGGGTCTTCAATAGACCAGTTCAACTTGTATCTTCATTTCTCCTCTTTGTCAACTTCTTATTTTACTTAAGGGGTTGTGCTTGCAATCCAAAGGCACTTCAATAAAATTAAAACACTCGTCGACTTAGACTAACGCTAATTATTGAATTGATAAGATACTGAAGATAAAGACTTTCTATTGAAAAAAACTTAATTTCTTTATTTTTACAGTCTTAGCCATTGTCGTGGTCCTTCTGGGCCACTTCCGGTTGTCAGAGGCGGACTGGAGGGACTTAGTGGCCAGAGGTAAGTGACCCCTGTTGACCGCCGGTTAACTATTACTCCAGACAGTTCAAAAGCCATATAAGTGGATGATATGGGTCCAACATGCGCAGGCGAATCCAGGGCTTTATCAGGTGGGTGGTTTGGGGGGGGGGAAAGATTTTCAAAATTGCCTGGCATAGTACAGGGATGTAAATTTGCTCAGTTTTGTCTAGTTTTGGTCGGTAACTAAAAAGAGTTCCAAACACATTGTTTTCTTTAATGGCAATATAGCTTGACTAAAGAAGCTTTCATCTTTAAAAACAAAAAACCAGAATTTTAAATTTTAAATTTACGATGTTGATTGCGGAAGTGAAATGTGAAAAAGTTCATCAGAACCACGATATCTTAAGTAATAAAATTATAACAATGGTCATAAAGTAAATTTACTGACACACAGCAATACACAAAAGGCACTCAAGGTAACTCAAATACCAAGCTAGGTTTACCAAATAGGTCCCTTTGTCAACTTAATCTCTCATTTGTGGTCGACTATGCTTATTTGATGCGAGTGATATCATGCCCGGAGAGGAAATAAATGCAACCATAATTGACATAACATGCGAAGACGTTATTATCTATTATACTTTTTTTATTTTTTCCGCATTTAAATGATGCAATAACGAGCTCAGTGGTAAACCGTGAAGTCTAGTTGTTTCTAAATCGAGTTTCAGTGATTAATATAACATTACCTCCCATAGCCAGTGACTAATTTGTGGCGTGTACATGGTAGGAATATTTTTTAATGTTGATATTTGCAAATATTTCAAAAATGAGTTAATAAATAGATCGGGTCCATTCCACACACACACACACACACACACACACACAAAAAAAAAAAAAAAAAAAAAAAAAAATTGAGTCATATCGGTGACGCATACATCTTGCGTAATGCTGGCATACTTTTGACTTGCCTGATTAACTTGCTGCTTTATAATACACTTCCCTCCAATGTGGAAAGAAATCAACAGAAATTAATCAGTTATGTCGATATTCCACAAAAAAAAACGTGACTCAAACGTTCACTTTTTTTGTGAAATGACTCATATGAAATAAATGAAGTATCAGTATTCTCATTTCTTTGCTCAATATCATTGGCTGATAAAGTCTGTATGTATATGTGTACAACGTGAGATAATACACGTAAACTACAATTTGTCATCAATATTTTATACGTAGAACAATATCGGTCTACCAAACCTAAACAGAGCGCGATTGTCAAGTCCCTTATAAATTAATTCTTAGATGCCATATGACCCTTTTTTTTCTGTCACGCAGGGTTTAAAATGTTGAATGTCGAGTTACTTGCCGTGCTTCAAGTAATTAAGCCATTTTATATTTATTTGTCAATGTTTTACTCCCTTCTGTCACCGCTGTGCGTGTTTTGAATCGCTTACAGAAGATTTCAGTGACATTACGTTGAACGAAGAACTCATAGGATGCTTTCCAAATTGTAACAACTTGAATCCGGTGTCATGAACGGTTCCCACTGATATGTACATTTAAGCTGCGTCCTAAATTCTGACCCACTTATGTCACGCTTAACTTGACCTTGCATGTATCTAATGTAAAGCGGACGCCTTGATCACATTCAGATAAACTCATCGTACTAGCTGGAGCGATCCAACTCTGCGGGGGATTTTCGCTAAAGTGCATTCAGTGTCATCAGCTTAGTTGTCAAACACTGAAATTTCAATGTTAGCTATCGACAACAGCTAACGGGCCTTTCCAGGTGTAGGGGTTACAATCAAAATACCCTAATACTTTCAATGAATCTGCACGTAACTAAAGGCGATTTGTGTGAAGACCTGAATACTCAAAACTAGCTGTGTCAAGACAGACGGCTAACACTGTTACCCTTACAGTTTAGCATTTACCATGGACAGTTCCATGTGAATTTTGAATAACGGAAATAAGCATTTTAATTGGCAGAGTGAGGAAAAGGATGTCAAACACATTGATGGTCGTTTTGGTGTCCTCAAAAAACGATCATAACTAATGAAAATCAAGCAAAATAGCAGAAAACGCAGTCCCTTGGTTTATATGGTATATTGCTTAACAGTATAAAAATTCCAAATTGACAACTTATTTTTTTTTTCTTTTTTCCACGAAAGATTTTTGTAAGAAATGCATAGAAGAGCGCCAAGGCGTCGGCTTCTTTGAGGATCCCGATGATTGCCGATTCTTTCTGCGGTGCGACCTTGGACCTTTTCATGAAATAATATTCCAGCGGTACGAATGTTCCCCCGGCACGCTGTTCGACAGGGCGATTCCGGCTTGCGTACACTGTAACAACGCTAGCTGCGTGGGATCCAAAGCACCGGAACCAAGATGTCCCGTCACGGGTAAGTTGTGCTAATTTTAAAGTTTGCGTTCTATTTATGCAGGAATGCATTGAATCGATTTGGAAAATACGCCAAAATCACGCCTTTTTTGACACAGCAATTTGTATTTAAGCCCTTTGTTCGAAGTTTTAACTTAAAACATTTTGTCAGTGACCTATAGATTCATACATGTACAAAAGTGGCGTACATTGTCCCCCATACATCGGCCTCAATTCCAAAATTGCAATGCAAATACCAAATGCCAATCTCCATGTTTTAGAATAATATATTTTTAAATTTTACTCCATTCTTACAGACCCACCTGTTCCAATGACGGTTCCACCGCCACCAGTGATAAGCATAGCCGCTGGTGCTCGTAAGTTAATAAAATTTATTTTAATTTTGTAACTAAATTTGTGCAAAGAAATCATTGGCGATTATAATTATTATTTCTGCAAAAGAAGCGAATGTGTTTTACAATAGATTAATGCTTCAAGTATTTAACTATGATACTCATTCATTCATTCATTCATTTATTTATTTACATACTCCCGTTCACTCACACCGCAATATACAGGCACGTATATTCATTTTCTTCGAATACTTTTCTCTGCGTTTTCTAGCTATTTGACACCACGGGAATATTATGAATAATTCTTCCTATTTGGATTGACACAAAGTAAATGAATAAATTAAGGTCACATAAACAGATATAACATATTAAAAGTCCGACGAAATTATAAACCATTAATGCCACACCAAACAGACAAATAATGTTTTATTCCATTTATTCTTTTCACTTTTCAGAGTGTTGTAAGGCAAGGTTTGACACTGGCTACACATACTGTGAGGAGCCACGTAACAGCCACGTGTACTACAGAAAGGCCAATGTAGACGGGTTTGTCCAGAGGGTCAGTTGTGGTCATCTGATTTTCTCCGTCAATCCGAACCGCTGCGAGTGTGTGCCACCGGGTATGGGAGTTATTTTCTTGATTTTTTCAAACATCTTTTAAAGAGATTACAACTGTTCGTTTTGGACAAAAACGGAGGTATAGCCTTCTGTGAAGGTCAATGTGGTCTGAAGGCAAGCACAGATTGCGGAATTGTTGTGATAACCGTTGTTTTGGTGGTAAAATGGAATTTTATATATTTCTATGAGTTGTTTACTATGTATTTAATAATATTCATTGAGATATTGCAATAATTTATGAAACACATAAGAACAGTTAATATCCCTCTAACTTTGGGAAAGTTTAAAACTGTATAGTTATATACATGTATACCTCCTATCGTGGACATGTTGTTTGGTAGTTACTGGTCTTTCAAGTGCGCGTCTGAGGCTGTTCTATAAAAAGGAACCTAAAAAATTAGATGACTAAAAAATTAGATGACAAATTTTTTTAGAAGTAGCTCAAAGGGCAGTAATATGCAAAAAACATGGAATTCGGTTTAATTATACTTTGTCAAATTGTAAAATTAAACATGTTTAATGGATCATATGCCCATAATTTCCTGTCATGGTTTTGATGTCATTTTATAAGATATTTTAGATCCTGCATCATTGCCTTGAAAAAAAAATAATAATTTGAAACAAATTTGAAACCGGCTGCTGTACGCCAACACCTTATTCTTAGATACAAATACTATACATATTAGCATAATGCAGTTTCTGTCGTTGCTGAAAAAGTCTTTTGTCTCACTATCGACAAATTCTTTCCATGCAACAGGGTTCGCAATTCTTTACTGGTCGTATTCAGGCCTACCCAACTACCAGACTCGGCACTGAATGATCCTGAATTCACCGGTAGATCAGACCACACTACCCGTTTTCAAGGTGTGAGTCAGTACGCATTACACAGTATCATACCCTGAACACATTTTGAGTGGTAATGCAATGCTTTTCAACCCCGTTGAAAATGGTCACTATCACATCGCGTACTAGGCAAGAGCGGTGTCGCGTCTGATACTGTGTAATGCGTACTGACTCACACCTTGAAAACGGGTAGTGTGGTCCGATTTACCGGTGAGTTCAGGATCATTCGGTGCCGAGTCTGGTAGTTGGGTAGGCCTGGTATTATTTAAAAAATTAATAATACCTCAAACACTAATATGAAATAATAATGATATCACAAAAAGAAAACATTTTTTGACTTGTAAATAATTACGTCATATTCCAGATCTGGGCCCAGTCGCACTCTACACATTCGAGGTACCACGACCGTTCGATAGCAAGGTTGGCAACTTCATGACCGATACGCAAGGAGTCGGACTTCATGCGACAACGGCGGGGAGCGAGGACGGTTTCGACGAATTTTCAGGACAGTTCGACGGCATCGGCGACATGGAGGCGCCTTTGTTTTCTGGTTATGATTGGGGAACGAGGTAAGTCCGTTATATAATTTCTGTTAAATTGTTTTTGAACCTTTACAGTTTTACAGTGACCATACGCCTAAATGTAGCAAGGATGCGTCTTTATTCTCTCGCAACTTCTCAACCTTTAACGCGAGACCGTGACGTCATACAAGACAAAAAAAAAAAAAAAAACGTACCAGTATCCGCGTGAGGTGGGGATAAGAAGAAGTTACCCCGTTTTGACTTGACAAAGAACACCTACTTGTAGCACGAATAATGATATGAATACGCTTTGTAACATATTTTTATAATGCTGACCGAAAAATGTAAAAAAAAAAAAAACGATTATAAAAACGCCAGAGTGAGCATATTTGAATTGAAAGTCACTATGAAAGAGAGGCCCAATTTAACGCCTGTGACACCAGTGTAACCCCGGTGTAACGAAATTGAGGGTCCGTTTAACAGAAAGTCCGTCCTCCATTTAGTTCTAATAGTTAGGGTAAGCGTAACCTAAGTGGGTCAAAATCTAGGGCGAGGCTTACCAGTGAAAGGGAAGTGGATTCTCTATCATGGAGGGGGGGGGGGGGGGGGGGGGGGGCACTGTCACGTTACACCGACAGAACGTGCCACCCAGCACGAGTGTATGTGGCTCAGATAACGATATACACCAATATTTACCTCAAACCAGTATGAATTATCTAGATGAAATGAAAGATAAAACGCTCTCCTTAAGCAAACCTCGTATTCGACTGTGTGCCTGATAAATGCTGAACAAATGCGCCACCAGACTAGGACCGAAAAAGAGGTTAGGTATTGGAGACGGCTTTAATCAAATTGTAAACGTGATTTTGAGCTCAACGGGCGACGGGAGATCAAACTGGAAACACTTTTAGGTTGAGGACGGGAGAAGATGATGGCAAGGCACTATATCACAGTTGCACTGTTCCTTTCACCTTTGTTGCTGTTTCCCAGTACCATTTCATGGACAAAACTGCTTGGGAATGGCCGTGGCGTAAATGTTACATGCATGCAGGAGAAGTGCCTCGAAGAATACACCTCTTGCACCAAGAACAAATTATGTGAAGATGCCTTTCAGTGTTTTTGTAACAAGAGCGTCACGCAGTGTATGTATGATGCACGGTGGGGCTTGAGATGCTTTCAGACCTATAATACCGACGTTTTGTACCGCCTGGTGGCATGTGCTGTGACAAGGGAAGGTTGCATCACACCCGACCCACCGATGCCCGAACACAAGTGCAAGAAACCTACCAATCTGTACCCGAAATTTGACATTCGAACGCTCGCTGACACTTGGTTCGTATACCGCGGCTATAATCCTGGGGAGTTTTTTAACCCTGTGCCTCCGGTCGACTGCTACGACTGTCAGAGCTACACGTTCAGTCAGGACCTTGACAATACAACATCGTGTCAAGCTAAGAAGCAGTACAGTATCAACATTTTACTAGACCTGAAGCATAACTTCACCTACAAATCCTTATTCGTCGTTAAATCACCGACAGGGAATATCATTCAAAGCACTGGGACTGAATTTGGACTTTTTCGCTCCGACGAGTTTCGTATTTTGGACTACTACTCCTGGGAGTCGGCAGCAGGGTATGTCCTTGCTTATTATTGCGGGACCTTTGGCTTCTGGCCAACTGAGGGAGTGATTATGCTAATCAGACCTTGGCTCTTGCACCTGCCTCCCGACGTAATCAAGAGAGCCGAGGAAGCCGCAGCACGTAATGGATATGACTTGAATAAATTCTGCGCTCCCAACAGCGAGCCGTATGCTACATGCGATAGGACATAATATGTTTTTGTTGCATCGTTCACTGGAGATCTACAGTTGTTGAAAGAAAATAAAATAACGTACAGACAAGATGGTGACCCGTTTAATGAACGTTCATTGAGGAATAATGTTTTTTTACAATAATTAAATATAATATGATGTTATTCATATGTTCTCTGTATTTTGGCATAGTTTGAGTGATGGTCATCTATTAGCGTCACCGCATCACTACACCCGAACATCGTTACTTCCCTGTGTCATTGCTCCCCAGCGAAATTATGATATCAACTGCATCAAAACACCTGCCCAGTGTTATTCCCTAATGGTTTTTAAATAACGATTTGAAGAAAATATCCTCACTTTAGAGAAACTATGGGCAACAATTACTCGCCAACTCCAATTCCAGACCAATCTCTGAGGAACCAGTCAGAAGGAGTGGGGTGCTACATGTACAAGAGAAATCTGGAAGCAGCCAGAAGAGGTCACACGCGCTACTGCCTCCGTATGTGACTAGAAGTAGATATGACTGTCACTTTTGGGGTGTGTCACTCTCTAACACTTTAATATGGAGACCTATATGTATATGCTTTATTAATCAAAATCAGAAGTGTAACTTTTGCAATGCTTGATGGAAGAATTAGGTAAAAAAAATGATGACACAATAACACTGAATAAATTATCAAATGTTATTTAAGCGGGATTTGTTTTTACTTCTTACATATAAAAATATGAAAAAATTTACCTGTAATAATGTCAACTGTGCTGCCTTTGCATTAAGCGGATGCAAAACATGTCTCTAAATGTGTTAAAAAGGCCGTATTTACTGCAACTTCCAATTATGCAAATCTCCATATCAAAAGCAATATAATATAATATACAGACTTGACATTTAATATGGAATATTTTTTTCCAAATTATTTATCATCAGTTTTTGTCTATTTTGCTGATTGATATATGAAAATAAGGATTAAAATATGTTTTAATAACTTTCATTTACCTCTCTTTGATGTCATTGTGACATCAGTTCATTAACTGAATTCGCCAGTGAAGCAAACAAATTAAAAATGCATTGCGTATTTAAGGTCATACGGCAACCATTGAAAGCGATATTTTGGATCTATATATTTTCGAAATTGTCGTCTTTAAAAGAGTAATACACCCCACAAAGGACCCTCATGTCAGTGTCTTGTCACAGCAACGGTCGCTTTTACACCTGACCTCATCTGGCTGCTACCAGAGCTTTCAAGCGGCCAGGCATTCCTTAAAATAGGTTTTAAGAGTTTAATCTGGGAGAAAATTCCAGGCAACGGTCAAAACTTGTCCAATTTGGTTCAGTTTTGTTGTAGGACATGCAGGCCGTTGTCTATGTGTTCAAATATGGAGATTTTGATGACCAATGTATCTGCTCAATCCCTTGGCTCTGTAAATTATCTGCTATTAAAAGTGCTCTGTGTGAACGGGCAATCTCATCGTGCGACTTAAAATTGTTCCTAAGATGCACCCTAGCTATTATATGATAGTCAAATGGTTCCTAGATTATTCCTTTATTTCATCTGGTTTAGGTTTTCATCAATGACTGCCATTGGTGTTTTGGCACCAATGTGGTATTCACTCCAAATGCTGACGCTGTCAATGACCCTAGTCACTTTAGAAGAGGCACACGCCTTGTCGTAGGCCTCTACGGAATGTCTGTAAACTCTGTTTTGACCAGTTAAGCGGTACAGGTGAAATCTGACCCCAATAAAGAAAGCCACCCGGTTTCAGTGTTCTACCCAGAAACGGTCATGGTCCTCATTTCATTAGAGAAACAGACGATGCTGTTTTGCTGCTTACAGTGGCTTCCTCAGAGGTCTTTTCGTATCCTAACCTGCTAAAACCAGTTTGGTATTCGATAAGAGCCTTGGAAAACGCGTTTTGATCACAATTTGCCCCTCACTCTGAACGGACTGGATGGATTTTGTTTAGTTGCAGCAGTTTATCCAGAATAGAAGGACAGTGAGTCCTGCGCCTTGGTGGTAAGATGTCTATACATTGAGCGTGGTCTCTGTATAGGAACATCAGTCTGGGCATAACTCCATAAAACTGTGCAGACCATTCCGTTTTACACAATAATCTGTCTGGCAATGTCTGTCTTTTTCGCACCATTTTGGCACAGATTAACATTTTTGTAAAACATTGGTTAACTCATTTTACGCACTGCAAAACCGACCGCTTGCATGCAAAATTTCAAATTCTTTTATGCAGTAGTTGCCGACATATGGATACTTTTTTGACAGAACCATGCTTCGCCAAAGCCAAGCTTTGTCCCGCCCAAAGGAGCACTTCCCAATTAAATCACTGCATATTACACAATGCAGCAGTGCAACAGACTTGGTAGTCAATTAATTGGTAGCGACAAACCTGACTTCACACTTCTCCAGTCAGATAATTAATATGATATATGAGTTTCATTGAAAAAAGAACGGATTTTTGCCTAGGCATACCTTTAAAACTGAAATATTCCATATTAAATGTCAAGTCTGTAATAAAATATAATATAATATAATATAATATAATATGTAACATTTGAATGGAGATTATCAGAGATGAGGACATTTGAGATTTGAAACTATAAAACGTACGAGAATCCGCGACAGGTGGGGTTAACGTTTCTAGCGATATGGGTGAAATTGTATGCGTGCAAAAAGTGACACCCAAATCATGATAAATCCGTACTGTTTGCACTAATACATTTTAATTCTACAGAACATGAGAGAAAACAACCATGTATTAATTTGTCAGTTTATATTCGTTGTCACACCACTCTACTCTGACAGCAGTGTAACCCTGACGTAACGAAATCAAGGGTCCGTTTAACAGAAAGTCCGCCCTCCATTTAGTTATAATAGCTATTAGGGTTAGCGTGACCTACATGAAAGTGGGTCAAAATCTAGGGCGAGGCCCACAAATGGACGGGTTCTCTATCATGGGGAGGGGGGGGGGCACTGTCACGTACTGGCAGCAGTACGTGCCCCCAGCACGATAGTGTATGTGATCTTGATAACGATATACACCAATGTTTACCTCGTACCAATATGAATTATCTAGTTGAAATGAAAGATAAAACGCTCTCCCTAAGCATACCTCGTATTCGACTGGGTGCCTGATAAATGCTGAACAAAAGCGCCACCAGTTTAGGACCGAAAAAGAGGTAAGGCATTGGAGACGGCTTTAATCAAATTGCAAACGTGATTTGAGCTCAACGGGCGACGGGAGATCAAACTTTAAACGCTTTTAGGTTGAGGACGGGAGAAGATGGTAGCGAGGCACTATATCACAGTTGCGCTGTTCCTTTCACCTTTGTTGCTGTTTCCCAGTGCCATTTCATGGACAAAACTGCCTGGGAATGGCCGTGGCGTAAATGTCACATGCGCGCAGGAGAAGTGCCGTGAAGAATACACCTCTTGCACCAAGGACAAATTATGTGAAGATGCCATATTTACCTGTTTTTGTAACAAGAACGTTTCTGATTGTATGTATGATGCACGGTGGGACTTGAGATGCTTTCAGTACTATAATACCGACGTTCTGTACCGCCTGGTGGCATGTGCTGTGACAAGGGGAGGTTGCGTCACACCCAACCCACCGATGCCCGAATACAAGTGCAAGAAACCTACCAATCTGTACCCGAAATTTGACATTCGAACGCTCGCTGACACTTGGTTCGTATACCGCGGCTATAATCCCGGGCAGTTTTATGTCCCTGTACCTCCGGTCGACTGCTACGACTGTCAGAGCTACACGTTCAGCGACGACCTTGACAATACAACAGCGTGCCAGGGTAAGAAGCAGTACAGTGTCAACATCAGAGCAGACCTGCAGCGTAACTTCACCTACAAATCCTTATTCGTCGTTAAATCTCCGACAGGGAATATCATCCAAAGCACTGGGACTGAATTTGGACTTTTTCGCTCCGACGAGTTTCGTATTTTGGACTACTACTACTGGGGATCGGCGACGGGTTATGTCTTGGCTTATTATTGCGGGACCTTTGGCTTCTGGCCAACTGAGGGAGTGATTATGCTAATCAGACCTTGGCTCTTCCACTTGCCTCCCGATGTAATCAAGAGAGCAGAGCAAGTCATAACAAGTAATGGATTTGACTTGAATGAATTCTGCACTCCCAACAACAAGCCGTATGCTACATGCTACAGGACATAATATGTTTTTGTTGTATTGTTCACTGGAGATCTACAGTTGTTGAAAAAAAAAGAATATAACGTACAGACAAGAGGGTGACCCGTTAAATGAACGTTCATTGAGGAATAATGATTTTTTATAATATTTTCATATCGTCTCTGTATTTTGGCAAAGTTTGAGTGAGGGTCACCCGCATCACTACTCCCGAACATCGTTACTTCTCTGTATCAATATGATGTCACCTGCATTGAAACACCCGCTTAGAGTCATTCCCTCCTGGTTTTTGAATAACGATTTGATAACGATCACTATAGAGAAACTATGGGCAGCAATTACTCGCCAAATCCTATTGCAGACCAATCTCCGAGAAACCAGTCAGAAGGAGTGGCATGCCACAAGAGAACCCTGGTAGCAGCAAGAATTGGTCACACGCGCTACTGCTCCCGTGTGTAACTAGAAATACTATAGATATGACTGTCACGTTTGGGGTGTGTCACTCTCTAAAACTTAAATATGGAGACCTAAATGTATGAACCTTATTAGTCAAAATCAGAAGTGTATTTTTGTAATGATTGATTGAAGAATTAGGTAAAAAATGATGACACAATAACACTGAATAAATGGTTAAATGTTATGTCAGCGTGATTTTTTTACTTCTTTCTTAGATAAATATGAATAATTGAAGAAGGATATTCAAAATAAATGTGAACTCTGCATATAGCGGATGCAAAACACGTGTCTCTAAATGTGCTAAAAAGACCGTTTTTATCGCAGTTTTCCAATAATGCCAATGTCGCTATCAAAAGCACCCTCAGACGCAAATTTTCGTCATGAAGTTTGAAACCGAGATTTTTGGATGGTCGGTCTTCATGGTAAATCACTCTGTTCTCTTTCTTGAATGTCTTGTCATAACTATAACAAAATATCATTGTGTGCAACTATATTTTATCAGCGTGAACATATTGAACTTTAATTTCGCTCACGGATGACTGGGGTATACCGATCTAAACCAAAATTTCATCCAAAATGTTCTTAAACCTGACTGTTGTTAGCGTTAATATTGTTAGTCTTAAAATTAATTTTTGGATCACATTGTTGTAAGTTATTTTATTTTCAGCATAGTGTCATAAGTCTGTAAACGTAATTTCCTCTTTTTTTCCTTGGAATTTTCCATAAATTGTATTGAATTACAAATTACAATTGAAAGTTTGAAATATAATTCACATTTTCTCGCCTCCATCTTTCAGTTTAACGGTTTCATTCTTTTACAAAACTGACGCAAGAGACAGAGTTCTGAGGGCAATCCTTGCCAACGGAAACTGCGACATACCCCCAACATTCCTGTTTGTGACCCAAGGAAACGATCTTCATTGCGAAATGGATGTTGTAGACCGGGGTGCATTTTTTAGAAAGAGGATACCAAAATTATGCAAATACTCAGATATATTTAAACAGGTGTGAGTCTTTCTCTTTTCTGTGTGAATAGAATGTGTAAAGCAAGGTCCCGCTTGGCATTTTGGGGGGTTAATTTCTGTTTCTGCAATTCCAAAAGCTGTAAGTAGGGCATATCGTTTGTTAGTTAGAATAAGAAATTATAAATCTAAACATGTTAACTGACTATTAACAAATATATCTGTTGACCTATTTCTTTCTCCTTCGGAACCCTTCATGATTCAGAATATTATAATTTCATAACTGTTTTTTAAAGTCAAATAAAACGTATTTAAGCTGAAACCAATAAAACGCTTTAAGGCCGCACACAGAACAGTGGACTAACTAGTCCGCGGGTCAAACATGGCGACCCATTAAAAAGCTTGCCGTCTAATCCGCTAATAGACACTGAATAGATTCAATGTGGGGAAGTATTCAAGTGAGTCGGTCATATTTGAACCTAGGACTAGTTAGTCCACTGCTCTGAATGCGGCCTAAGTCACGTAATAAATTTTCTAACACTCCGGAAAATACATTATAAATCTTATTTGCCCTTTCAGCTACCAGAAGACAGTTGGGTGGGTGTGGTGACGACCTTTAACTCACTTAAGATACACACCAGGGTGAAAATAATGAAGACTGGAGAAATCCGGGAGGGGAACAGTACCTTATGTGTAGGTAAGTGTATGGACGATGTGCTCTGCAGGAGGGGATCCAGAGATATTTTCTGACAGTATTCCAAATTATCTTTGTTGATCCATCCTCCATTTTTGATGATCTTCCAACAGAAAAAAATAGATACCCATCAATGTAAACATTAAAATCTGACCGCCTTTCAGAAGACCCAGAAGACGGTCTCAATCCGCCCCTGAGGGTGAGAAATCCGAAAAAGAAATAGTACCTTACATGTACTTGTACGTATATGTATATGTAGGCAGTACATGTAAGGCCGCATTCGCAACCAAGTCTATTCTTGAAGCAATGGTGCATGTGCATTAAAGGCTGTGAACTAAACGGTTACGGGAGCGGTAATTTTTTTCAATTTGTTTCCAGGTTCCGTTCCGGCGACTCTGGCTCCTCTGAATATTGGACGTGACTTGTACTGTATCAAACAAAATGGTCGCTCCCTCGCTGGTAACTTTGTAGGAAAACTAGATCAGGTATCTGTACAATTTAGTTGTTAAATAGCCCAGTTTGATATTAAACTACTTCCAACTTAAATCGAAATCTCAGACAGTTTTTGGTCACACGCTGAACCGTTAACCTTTATAAAATTTACCTGGACACTTAAACAGTTCTCATCACGGAGTAAAATACCTGGCCTGGCAGTGAAAGTTCGTATGCTAGCTTTCAGCGTGTTATTTTTCTACGTTTACTTTTTTACTCTTCATCAGCAAGGCATACGATATCTGTAAACCGATATAGTTGTGTTAATATCATTTAGCGTCCGTTACATGAGATATGTGTTGTGCTTTAAGACTTTAACTCCATTATCCCATATCTCTGCACAGGTTCAAATATACAGAAGAGCTCTGGAATCCTGGGAAACAGACAGAGTGCTTGCCGAGGAGGTCAATATCAGGACTTAGACTGGGTTCCCATACCTAGATCGATCTAAGAGAATCGATCCATCTCCGAGGGGTTACTCGCTAGATTGCTTTCAGCTTAAGCGGCTTTGATGTCTGTTTCGCCTACTGAAGCTGTTAAGGGGTAATTTATTATCGTTTAGCAGCTTGAGAAGGCGTGTCAGACATCCAAGCCGCTTAAGTTGATTGCAAGTTGATGGCGAGAATCCCCATCGGAGATAGATCGATCCGTAGTTAGAACGATGGGGCCTGGGAATTGTCCCTTAGTGAAACAAAGACTTTTATCAATACGACACAATCATGCGGTGGATTTGTTTGCAGGGGCCGACTTCACAACCTAAAATCGAAACAGAAAACTATGAATGTTTTAATGTTTTAGAGAAAAAAACGAAATCTACTTGACCTAGGGTAAATTTGAAATATTTTAAACGAATGAAACAGCGCGTAATTATGTATCAGACCAGCACTAACTTTTATTTAAGTGTATTACTGAGAAATTATGCTGTACAAATTTTGGTCTAAATATCATTTTGTGACATTGGCCCCTGGAGGACTTAATAGACCTATACGTCGTAAAGGACAAAGGATTGGCGCAAAAAATACTCCTTGCAACGACAAAGAATCTCATCAGTGTAATGCATTATACTTTATAATACTGGTTTGAACGAGCAAAAGCTAAATACTCCGAGTTATTCATTGTCTGTTAAAACTAGACTATGTATGCTAGACTTTGGCCGCGCTTTCAAAATTGTTTCCTGGACACATGCCAACATAACATTATTTCTTCATTTAAAGAAATATATTAAACGCATTCTTCAAATCATCTTTTGACAAACCTCTTCCCAATAGAAGCCTTCATGCGTGAACTTGAAATCTCCTTTATTATTATTATTATTATTATTATTATTATTGTAACTTATTAAGTTTAAGTGTCTTCAAAAAGACACAGATGAATATGTAAGTAACCATAAAGATCTTGTTTTTTATCCAAAAAAGTGGTTTTTAGGCAGCTAAATTCGACAACTCACTAGTATTATAGGTATCTTTTACTGAATGGAATACTTCGTGAAATGAGAAATTGTTATGTTATTACCTAAAAATATTGGCTTCAATCGTTTCTATATACGTCTGGAACTTGTGTCTTTGCTGTACAAACATTAATTTACATTTAAGCTTCACTAATGGCCATTATTTATTTATGTATTTATTTAGTAAAAGGCCAAGAGACAATAAAAGTCAATATTGTCATTAAGATTTGCCTCTTTACCTAAATATTACTTTTCTTTTTTTATATAGCCACGTGGATATGAAAGAAAAGTTTACATCACTATGATCTATCTGACTCTAATAAAACTTTAACTCACAACTAAAACATTCCAGGCCTACCCAACTACCAGACTCGGCACATAAGGATCCTGAATTAACCAGTATATCGGACCACACTACCCGTTTTCAAGGTGTGTGTCAGATCGCATTTCGGAGTATCAGTCAGAACACCGACAGGATGAGCCCACGCTCGGCTGTCACCTTGATTGGATAGTAAACGATTGTCGTAAAATCGCTATATGATTTTAAAACCGGGTGCATAAATTTGAAAAACACCTAGAACAACCTTAGACTGCCACATTAATCTAACAGAATGCAAAAAAAGCCCTATCAAAAGTGGTTAAAGCATTCAAAACGAATGTCGTAAAGTCCCCATATACCCCCAAAGAGACAATAAAATAGAGTACTCTAAAGTAAGAGTACAGTATAAGGTTGTTCTGGGTGGCTTTCAAATTTATGCACCCGGGATTAAAATCATATAGCGATTTTACGACAATCGTTTACTATCCAATCAAGGTGACAGCCGAGCGTGGATGAGCCCGCGGTCGTCCTACAAAATTTGTTCTGGGGTATGATACTCCGAAATGCGATCTGACACACACCTTGAAAACGGGTAGTGTGGTTCGATATACCGGTTAATTCAAGATCCTTATGTGCCGAGTCTGGTAGTTGGGTAGGCCTGCATTCGCATCGCTTTTATTTCATGTTGATACCAGTTATTTCTGTCTTTGACCAAAATTTTAATTAAAAAATTGAAAACGCATGCCTTAAGATCAACTATAATCGGCAGTTCAATTGGTCCACGGAGAAAGCACACAAGCAGAAAGCTTGGGCACTTTAACCAATTAAAACTGATCTATATACATGCAACTGTAGATGCGTTTTCAAATTGACCAATTTATTCATTAAACAAGATCAACACGATGATTGTGATGAATTCTCAATATGATCAAAAGTGAACTGTTCTTACTTCTTATTATTGTGCCTGTTGCGCTGCCAAGCAGCCCCATAGGTCTAAGAGTTTTTCTCCAACTTCTTAATCTTCTAACAATTTGTAAATTGAGGCCAATACAGCCTGTCGCAGGTATTATCAGGTTCGGCCATTTTTCTTGTTTGGCACATTCTGTTCCCACATGTACTATTCCTATATGTAGGCCTAGTCATTTTAGTGTATGTGCATCGAAAGGGTCGCCAAATCAGAATTATAAGTAAGGTCAGTACCTGTGCCATATGTAATGGGCACATTTGGGACGAAGAAAGCCAAGATATGTAGTTACTCTGTCATTTGAAGTGTACTTTGTGTAAAAGAGACAAAATATCAGGATTTTCAATGTACTCAACGCGCCTCGTTCTTGGGAGTTCAATCGCATTGGCCTCCCCTCATACTGTATATCTAACATGAAAATACTGCACAAAATATACAAAATATATGTGGCTTACACATGCTGGAAATACTGTGTGATTCTCAATGTTGGCATACCAATTACTCCAGTAAAGGAAGAGCTGATGATATTTTTAAAACGTCGAACGGCTTGTGAAGAAGTCATCTTTATTTTGCATACATTATCATAGCTATATTTGTCTTGGTGCCAACTTGATACATCTGACAACCAGAGTTTTTGACCTGGCTGTGATAAAAAAGTACCGTGCAAATATCCACCATGGATGATGGCTTATAGTAATCTTACCGCTGAACCTTCGCCATAGGAATACGGTCTTTTGACCTCAAACCACTTGCTACGGGATGTACGTGACGTCACAGACATAACGTTTCGCTTGTGCACACGTCTTTTGACTGGGTTCCCACATATTTAGATCGATCCATCTGGATCGACCTAACTCCCTGTGTGTTCACGTTAAATTGCTGTCAGCTTCCGGGAGCCGAGCACGCACAAAAGTTAATTACTCCCTCACAGCTTTTAGTAGGCGGGACAGACATTTAAGCCGGTTAAGCTGACAGCAATCTAGTGAGACTCCCCTGGGGGATAGATCGATCTAAATATCTGTGGGAATGGTCTCTATAGTTTCGCACTAATTCGTTATGACGGAAGAAAACCCTGCACCGGGCATCTTTTTGTTCCACAGAGCGTCGAAACGCTCATTTTGATGCACCGTAAAATGGTGCTTCCAGTCGCCTACGGTTGCTGAAATAAGAGTTGTACACGGTTATCTTTTTTAGCTGTTTAGCAGGGCTGACATACATGTAGTCCAGAATTAGACTAAGTGTCGACACTAGAAGGCTAGACTGCTTAAAACTATACGGGCGGGTTTTCAATATTTGGTATCGATTACCATTATACATATATACTAGTTTTACAAACATAAGACATATTCACAATATAACTGTACCAGTTGCACGGAAAAGTAAAAAATGAGAAAAAGTGGGATCGCAAACAACTTTACCTTTTCTGTATAAAACTCCGTTCTTGTACGGGAGCGGGGTAGCCTTCATCTGTTCCTCTTTCACCGTCTTCATGTTCTCAAACGACGTGGCTTCTGCAACTTTCTGCAGGAACTCGGGACTTCTGTCACAGCCCAGGAAGGCTGAGAGACCCGGGAGAACTTGGAGTGGAGCCTGGAGAAACAAAAATCTTTCTTTTTCCTATCAACAGTTAAAAAGTTCATATATTAGAGCTGCGCACACTTTTATTTGGAGCCGGAGGATGGAAAATCATACACTTGAAGTTCGACATTGGTAGACTCGACCCACGACGTATTTTAATTTTTAAAAAATTTTAATGGATTGCTAAAAGAGACATAGATAAATTTAAACAAACGTCTTAAATTTTAAAAAATTTCTTTCTAAACTCCTCTAAATAAATTCTTTCCTCGTTTCTCCGCTGTCCGTCTTCTCCTCGTCTTCTTAAACACACATGTATAGCTAAATTCCACTTTACCGTGTCAAGGAGCAAAAAATGGAGTAAAATGGGGTAAAAGAAACAGAACTAATTCAATTGGCCATAACTTCTCCACGCCCACGCAAGAGCAATGCCCTCAATGTGCAATGCAGCAATGGAATTTGTGCTCTAAAAGTGTTTATTCTTTTTGTACTAAAATTAAGGTGTTCCATATAAACTACAGGGTTACCACTTAATATGGAATATTATTTTTTGGCGAGTAAATTTTCTACAAAATATTTAATTTCTCTCTAACTACTTTAAATCTAAAACTGAGGTGTCACTCCACGTGTAGCCAGGTGTGTTACCTAATTACCACAAAACTCTCGAAACAATTGATGCATGCAGCTGCATGTTCTGTTGTCAGAAATGTGAGGGGTGGTCTTTTCGGCAATTTCTGCCCTTGTATAAAAACGCATGGGTTTGGTCAATCTTTGGAGTGTGTTTAGAGAAGCAACAAAGGGATCGCTCTGAAACTTGACTGGTACCGTAGTGAAGATATGGTTCGACAGCTAAGCAACGCAGCTTACTATGGGATTCTTGCTCTCAGAGAAAATGACCAGAAACGGACAGCCATTGCCAGGCAATGCAACATTTATCAGGAACCGTTAGTAAAGTCCTCCAAAGAAGTGCTACAACAGGGGGACCTACTCCAATACCTCGACCTGGGTGTCCGCGTATCACACCAGGAAGACAGGATCGCTTTCTCCATAGAGTGCGCCGTGCTGGTCGTCAAAGACAACCAGTGTCTTCAGAAAAGAGTGGCAGAATGTCATTCAAACGCCCGTTTCAAGGTCCCTCGTGAACAAGAGATTACTGCAAGCTGGTTATTTTGCACGAAGACCAGTAGGGAAACCAATGTTAACAGCAGGTCATATACAGCGCCGTCTGCAATGGACTGGGGACCACGTGCCCTTGCAGCCAAAACACTGGAATCACGTCGTTTTCGGTGATGAGGCCAGATATGGAGTTTTTATGGTTGGCGGTGGAATCCGTGTCTGCCAACGTGTACGAGAGGCATAAAACGATAATTGTGTACTGCCTAGGGTACAAGCATGGGGTGTTAACGTCTCTGTTTGGGGAGCATTTCATGTCGGTGTCCAGAACCAGTTGGTTTTTCTAGGAGGCAACCTCAACCAGGGTTCCTACAGAGACATTCTACAGCAAACAATGCTTCGATTGGTAAGAGTCATCTTCAGGAACAACTTTGTGTACCAAGACGACTGAGCAACCCCACATCGAGGCCGCAGAATCACTGTTTTTCTTCGAAACCAATGGGTTCAGCAACTGCCCTGGCCTGCAAACTCTCCAGATATGAACCCAATTGAAAAACTTTGGACAAAAATAACCCACAGAATTAATAGCTATGGTCCTCGGCCGGTAAATAGTGATGAACTGCAACAGGCAAATATCACTGCGTAGAATGATATCCCCATCCAAACTCTAAAAAACGTGTCACAGGGTATGCCATGTAGGATGAGGGCGCTGCAAGCGGCTGCTGGAGGTCATACTCGCAGTTACTGACTTTTCATGATTTACTGTAGTGAGTTCTTTGACTGTGTAACATATCACTGTCTGGAGGCTATCATTTTCTTTAATATCTTAGCTTAAAGTTAATACTGACATCAAACTGTTGATATGGTTTTCTGGGGGTGTTCCTTTCTTTTGAATGGCATCTTATGTCAGATTTGATATCATTGACCAAAATATCTCACAACAGAAGACTAGATGTTTTTATCACTCAGTNTAAAAAGTCAACGGTCACACTGGCTTATACTAACATGAAAACGCCAATCAGTAAAGAAAGATTATTTTTTAAAAAGTATTGAAATGACGAAGAAACTGAAAATAAAACTTAAGTTGATCACTCACCAATGTACATCTTCTCTGCAGTTCAACATTCACCCGTTTCCGTATTCTGACTTGGAATACTCGTACAGCCACTAATATACTGTTGGTGACGTGGTGCACGCTTAGTCCTCGCTTCTATAAAAACTATCCAATCATACATCACGTATATTCTACCAGAGTCACAGAATTGACTTTTTTCACTAGATAGTCACAGATGTGTCTCTAGCTCACTCAGCTAAAACATTATTCTTTCCTGCCAGAGTTTTAGAATGAAATTATCATATCACTCAACTGGCCTCTAGTATATAGAGTGGTAACGCTAGGATTTTTTTTTTCTTTTTGCATGGCCAAACCACCACTTTTTTCAATTTGTCATCCAAATGGTTGTAATTTGATTAAAAGAAATCAAATCAAGCCCTTTTTGTTAGCCAATTCAAGTCAGTTTTAGCATTTGTGTTAGCAATAGTTCGCGAGTGTTTGCGCTACCCCAGTTGAGGGTATTTTACTGGAGCGTGCATGGAATGAGAAGGCACAAAAATGATAATGAGTTAAAATTGTCTTTGAAAGAGTATTGGGTTTATGATATATCGGAATGGAAAGACTGACTGGCTATCAGGATATATATATGTTATGCTTATTGTAGAGATGTAAATAAGCATGGTGGAATATTAGTATATCAAAGAGCGTTTAGTAAATGGTCTAAAAGAAGCCAAACCCCCTAAATTAGACACTGCCGCCTTATTATCAGTCAAGCAGGTTACAGGGCTTGACAAAAATATTGTATTTAGTGCTGTGTGGGTTTACCTCAAGGGGCTAGTATTTATTAGCAAAATCATGTAAATGGAATGCGGGTATTGAGTGAATGGTTGCTCGGAATGAAAGCAACATACGAGGACGAATATTTTATGTTAGTGGGAGATATGAACGCAAGGACTGGAACGTTAAACGGCTTTATCGAAATTGATGGAGCGGAACATGTAGCCGATTGGTATGAAAGAAAAAAATAAAAATCTAGAGTACAACAGACATGGTCAGGACTTGGTCGAACTGTGCTGTAGCACGGACATTCATTTGTAAAATGGGAGAAAACATGGAGGTGTGGATGGAGAATATACGTGCCAAGCCAACATTGGTCTTAGTACAGTAGACTACGTTATTACGGACACGGAGCTTTATGACACAGTCACACACCTTGAGGGTATGAACATAGATAGGCCTATGTCGGATCATTTCCCTCCATATTGTGTGATGAACTGTAAAAATGAGAATGTAAACACTTGTGCAAGTACCACAGTAAACCTGATGACCTACTTCAAGTTTGTCTTGAGTGAGGAAGGAATAGATTGATTCCTTGGAAAACTAAGTTAGAATATGTCAATGACCATGCTTTAAAATGAATTCGAGCAATGTGTGCACGAAAACATTGATGAGGAGGTTATGCAATGAGCGGCGGGTGATATGAAAATTACCTACAAGGTGCATAGACCATTACAGACCATTACATGATGGTTGGTTTGACAATAAATGCATGCAGTAATATTTTAATATTAATTGTTTTCCTGTAATTTACAATTAAAATTTGGTGGTGATTATGCTGTAAAGTAGTGAGCGGAGGTAATATTGCATCAAATTTGATGAAAACCCTATTTTGTGCACTGTCGCCTCAAAGTCCATTACAGTGGCGGATTTAGGGGGTTGTCAGGGTTCCGACCCCCCCCCTTCGATTTCTAAAAAAAAGAAAAAAACACACTAATGGTACCCGTTCGAAATTAGAATTTTGACTAGCTGAATCACAGTTCCAAATGGCACCGTTCGCCCTCTAAAATACCAAAATTTTTTCGGGGCTCTCCATTGGACCCCGAACCCCACGCCAATGTGAGTGGGGGAGGATCGACTTTGCATCCGTGAACCCCCCCCCCCCCTTTAAATAATCCTGGGTCCGCCCTTGCATTGGGGGAAAACCACATTACTTATTGATTTCAAACTTACAGAAAAGATCCATAGGACCAAAATGCTGCTTGGGATAGAAAATCAACCTGATTGGTTTGTTTTTCATATATCAGTAGCTTATAAAATAATATACAAAGTGAAATATTGAGCGATACCATAATTTTGTAACAGACTACTAGCGCATCCTGTTGTCAGAGAGTAGTGTACAATAAGTGGAGAGATTAATTATTATGGAGGTGGTTTTATAGAAGTCATTCAAGTGCAAGTGGTTGTCAAAGCGAAAGAGAGACCTCCTAGGATAAAAGTAGCTGTCCAAGTGATTTTATCTTGCCGGATATTCTGCTGATCAGCTTGTTAATACCCAAGGTTAATTCACCTCTCCACAGGTTTGTCGGCTTATTATCAGCCTTTCAGTTGTTCACCTTGCTGCCTGATGGGAAACCTAACAAATTTTTGGTGAGCGACAAGCTGTGGCATCATTATAGTGCCATATATAGTGGTATCAAGACATTTGAGGATTTTGTAAACTTTTGACTCGTGTGGCTGTTTTGATTGCTGCCATCGCTAATTTTTTTTTAATTTTCAAAAGATCCAATGATGAGGTGTCGGGTTCTGTCAAGATTAGTGAAGTATCAAGAGGGATAACAGAGTTTTAATTAAAATGTGTATTTGCTGATCGGTCAGTTTACAAGCCATAGTATTCGACTCAACATCTGTTACATTTACAACCGTCACCATTAAAAAGAAAACTACGTAAGCTCTTACTTGGACAGATAACACATTATATTGTTCTTATTACGATAGATATCTCTTATAACTTTTTATAATTTGACAATGTTCTGGCAAGCTCGGCTGTCATATTTATGCCCACCCTATCTGATGGCTTTGCCACGGCGGGCATATTGATTATTGACGTCAAATGTTGCTCCTTTAATTTACTGCAACTACTAGTGCTTTGAAACGTTCAGAGGCCAGTTTATACAAAATAATTCCAGTAGAGTGTTCGGTTCTCAAATATAATCCACAGACTTGTTAATTAATTTTAATGAAGTCACTTGCTTGTGCACTCGACTCGTTTTATGGCCTTACATGTAATTATACAACGCAGGTGGGCGTGTGCAAATTGAGTAATTAAACTTAGTAACTAACGCCAAATAATAATAATATAATAATAATAATTTATTGAGCACAGAAATGATTTTACATTTAAAGGCTCTCTAACTACTATGTATTACATATATATTTATATGGAAAAATAGTAACAATAGTAAATAAATTAAAAAAGAAAATTGTACGTATATGATGTTATACAATAATATATTCTAAGTGGAATGGATGAAATCCTTAGCGTATTAATTGCGTTTTTTCATAATTTTACTCATAGAACTTCTTACTTCAGTTGCCTGTGCAGAGGGTGGATTTAGAATGATGTCAAGCTGTTTAGCCTTGTCTGTTAGATCCTGCAATTTTACCTCTGGTATAGTGCAGCACTGAATCCACCATAGATAAGGAATTTGTATATAAGACGTTCTGAAGTAATGTGTGGGAGTTCAGATTGAGAGAGATTAAAGGAGACCGCTTGGGAGAGCTAGGAAAACGGACGCGAGCCATGGGAGGTGATTCCATATGGAGACTTTACGTAGATCCTGTAGTTAGCAAGCGTCATCAAATAATCCGTTAAGCTGGTCATTACGTATGTGTCCTTTTTAATCTGAGCAAGGAGTTATAACTCCTTGATCTGAGCGACTTTACGTTAAACTGACACGAACCATGGAATTGCGGATTGCGTTGTGCGCGGTATGAATAGTTATTAATTACACAAGCATAACAGATTTCATTAGAAGAGGTGTCGATTATGCAATGTGACATTAGGCAATACTGTACAAGATTTTGCCAGAACTGTAATAACGGAATGGCCTCTCAGTCAGAACTAATTTATGGTTGTCAGGAATGTTTTTTCAGTTAGGTTTTTACACAGTACCATTTTCGATGCATTTTGTTTTCAGGCATCATATCAGCTTACCGTACATTGTGCCTGTATAACAACATGGCATGCATAAATTAATAAACGGCAGATCTTATTTGAAATTCACCCGTGTCCGTTTTTACGAGATTGTCTCAAAGATTTGAAATTCGTTTATTTAGTTTTTATATGGTTTACCTTTGGGGTGAAGAGAAAAGACTTGAGATTTTCAGGAAAATTAAAAATTTTAATATTTAGAGGTCTAAAATCTCACTTTGCGGCTGCCAGCAATTTCCATGTCTCTTTCAAACAGCCAACGAATGCTGCCACTATAAACCCCCTTTACACTGGACGGCGTCCTTTCCGCATCCTTTGTGCGACCATGAAACTGGCATCGCAGTGGTCGTAAAAAGGAGGCACAAGCATCGTTTTGGTTGCAAAATGAATGCTTAATGATCGGCCAATGGTCAGCACGTAAAGTATTATTATTATTATTATTATTATTATTATTATTATCGTGCTTGGCCAAGACTGGACGTGTCTTGCACATGAGGTGGTCCGCTGGTCAGTTGAAGTAGGGGGTGGTTTGAAAGTGATACGCTGTAAACTTGATTATTTCAGGGGTTTAAAGTATCCTATGGGCTTGTTTGTCTCTCATAACGTGGAAGATTCATGGGACGCGAGATAATGGATTGCAGGTTCGTCGGCTATGCCCACGGCTCAAGATGGAGAGAAAAAATTGCGCTAGGTTCCAAGCTTCATTGACAATGTGGTGGAACGAAGGGTAAAGTAACTCATTTTTTATGTTTAAATGCAAACCTCATTTAGCTATGATTGCCTCCGAAATCAGTGTTTAGCTAAAGTCACTTTTGGAGAAATGTTTCATTAAAATCCGATGCTCTCTCAACATTGGTTCATGTGGCTCGCGCAACTCTCAGTAGGTAAAGAATACAAAGTAATGCGTAAATGAGTGGATTAATATTCTCCCCTTCAACTGCATGTACATGCATTGACATTTCCCTTTATTTACAACCAAGTCTCTTTCGTTACTTGCTTTTACAAAGCAAGCCAGGAAGGTTCTCTTTGGAGCCATTCGGTATAGATGATCCATGGACCTAATGAGAGCCTTCTCTCATTAGGTCCATGGATGATCCGAGTACTAACTGATCCGCCGACTAAATATGGCCGACCCCACTTCAAATGCGATGCCGCTAGTTCCATGATTGTGACCCAGAATGGTATTCGGTATTTGCCTTGACCAACAAACATACAGACTTCATTAGACTGCGTTAATTGCATCTGAATTTTACTTAAATGGGCTGTTCTCATGTTGACATTAACAGCGATGAACACATCAATAGGATATGGTTTTGATCTTTTTGTCCTTGTTTTCAGAGTTAGATTACCACAGAGGACAGACGGTTTTTAGTGAAGCAGACCACCTATTTGTTCGCAGGCCTTTTTCTTTACCAAGATTCCTGCGCCCGCCGACGCTTGTCCTCAGGCAAATTTGTAGGGTTGTCACATCGTTTGGAAGGGAATGGTTTTATCAATTCTACAAAAGGACATACTGGTATCTGTGCCGTAGCGCACTAAATTTTAACAGAGATAGTGTCAACCATGTTTCTCTGCTGGTTAAGTGCCATAAATGTGGGTTTGAAAGTTGCAGTACAATTCTCTATCTGCTCTTGCCTCGTCAATTTCACTTTGTTTGAATGTTTACACAGTCGAAGCCTGTTCGCTATACTCATTTGGGGCCCAAGGGGAGGGGGGGGGGGGGGCAAGGGAACCCATCAGTTCTTGAATCGAGAATTTAGCTTTGGGATTAGATTGAAACGAAAATTGATAACCTCTTCAAAAACGTAATATGTTGCTTTGTATCAACATCATCTGACATTGCAGTATTGCCATATGTATACTGATATTGGCTGCATTCCATTTTCCAAATTGTATTCAGAAATAGATCAATTTTGTTTTAAAGTTTTCATCCTAGGGGTTGATCATGATGTAATTTGGGACAAGTTTGATGGTATCTGATTCTACCGGTATTCACCACTTATACAGCTTCTTTCCAATTATATTTGATTGTGCAATAACGTGATTATTAATGTGTTTGAAATGCTATAGTGTATTTTTCCGAAGTGTTTGCCAGAAATTTTGGTTTTACGACGCAATGAGGACCATGAGGAAAGTAACCAGAGACACTTTCCTGTTAAACCCAAAGAATGATACATCAGTATCTCGATATATATACAATTAGCAACACAAGCAAAATATATCCATCACACTTCTTAACCTGTATGTATTGATAGAGAAGTATCTACCATATTTAATTATATATTTATTTATTTCCTTTTTCCTTTAAACATAATGTGAACAAACAGTAGAATTTTAAGTAGTTTAGACAGTCAGCAATGTTAATGTCACATTATTATCATTATTAAATCCATTTTTGACGTAATGAAATAAATAATATAATCAGTTTCTCTGCCTTTAAAGCATTATATTAGAATAAAGACACAAATACAAATGTTTGCCAAGCAATACAATTCAATAATAGAGCACATTAGAAAAAGAAAAGGATCAAGCTGACAATTTTAGACATTTTAAATACTTCAACAAAAAAGATTGTATACATACTTATTACTTAGGAACATGAAAAGCACAAGAAGAAGATATATGGCTCAGTAGGTAAGTTTTTTTAAAAACTTACCTCAACCTCTTAAAAGAGGTTGATCTCTGGCATTAGTAATGTCAATAAGATAAATATATAAACAAAAATAATGTCACAAAAAGACAGATCCTTCCAGAAATTTATTTGAATCCGAGAAAAGGGGCTTGCATTGGGTTCATTTGATGTCAATGTTCTTCTTTAAAACTGTGATTGGGTTCATTTGATGTCAATGTTCTTCTTTAAAACTGTGATTGGATTCTTTTGATGTCATTGTTCTTCTTTAAAACTGATTTTTCATTTCATTGATAAGTATACTTAGTCATGTCTGAACGTCAATGCTACAAGCAAAACCTACATGATTAATTTGTATAATGGTTACTTTTGTTTTTTTTTTTTTTGAATTTTTGCCTTTCAAAGATTATAATTTGAAAGTGCCATGTACAAAAAACAAGAAGACCAACCAAAAACATTATGAACTGTGACATCATGATGAAAAATCCCATTATGACCTATGCTTTCTATAGAAATGTCAGCAGTCATAAGACAACGAGGTACTGTAGTGTACGGACGTGTTTTATTACTTGAGACATAAATCTGTCAATAGCGAAGTTAAAATGTCTTGCATTCCTGGATTAGGGGATGCTTTAAGCGGAACCATGAGACGGGCAAGGGGGAACGCTGCCAACGCTGCCTCCTTTGTAAGAAGCAGGCTGAGGAGATCAACAAGAGTTGGAGTACATCCCAACTTGGAACCTGTACCCATGCCACCAGTTCTCAGTTAGTCACGTAGTCACTGAAGCTTCATATAGAAGGTTGAGTTCATGAATTTCCCAACTACAAACAATGAAAAAACATAAGAAAAGGATTTTTTGGACCATCAAAAATGCCAGGAGAAATTGGATGCATTGATGAGAGCCATGTTAGAATCCTCTGAATGGGCTAGATTTTGACAACAGGAAAGTCTATTCACAGTGAAACAGCAAACGTGCAAGCAGTGTGAGACCACTTATCTCTTATCTTACCTTTGAAACCAGGCAGCAAATAAATAAATAAATAAATAAATAAATAAATAAATAAATAAAAAGAAAAGGAACCTGGCAAGACCTTATAAAAACCCTAACCAGACCCAAATGGATAAAGAAAACCCTGAAGAGAAAAGCTGAGGGTACTGAGACAAGAGGACAAGTTTAGAACTGGTGCAAGGAGGCAATCAGCTTCTGTATGAAACATGCAGTCATATGGCAACTGGCTGCGCCTAGGAAGATATTCAGAACGGAGCGCGTGCGCTGAGATGACGTCGCGGTTGAAATTTTGTAAATTTCGCAACCAGCGCGGAAATTAAAGAATTGTACTTTATTACCTCTGAAGGTGCTTATGAAAAATTAAGGCATGGTAGCAGAGTTTATCACGCGTCTTTAGGTGTGAGATTTACCCAGAATCAAAGTGAAATGAGGGAAATATAACTCGACAAAGTCGGCCAACATGCCGATTATTATCCATAGCAACACCGTAACATTTTGAGATATCTCCTATCACAGAGAGTGTGCACCTTATTCCAGTCGATAGAAGATGACTTTTAATACGCAAAATAAACCTACCAAGTTTCATAAGAATTTTTTCTGGCAACTTTTTTTGCCAGCTGTTGAAGTGCGTTTTTGGCCCTATTCCGCTAGATGTCAGCCATATTCTGACGTCATTTTTTCCAATACAGAAGCAAGTGAAGGTCTGCTGACTTTTTCAAATATCGAAAATCAAAGTACTTATCTTTTATTTCAGTAACAAACTATATTTCCAATAATTATAATAAAAAACCAATGTGTTAAAATAACTTTTACCTTCTCGGATGTCTTAATTCAAAACGACGGTTTTTATCATTATCGCACCTGCAGTTCTGCGCTGGCGATGAGAGTTCTTCATGAAATTTGTCGTCATACAGCAGTCTGCACAATTTTGAATGAAAAATCGAGTTAGCATCAGAGTATCCAGTTTGTTCACCATTACGCACTAGGTCTCAAACTCTGTTGTTTATTTCCATTATCAAATTTCAGCAAACAAAACGACTTCAGAAATTTAGCACTGCACGCATCATTGACACATTTCCACTTGGTGTAGGGGAGTTCAGTTTGTAGCAGACACTTGGCATGACTTTTAATGGAAAAGGATCACTTAAAGTTGCATGAGAAGTAAACGATGTAAATCTTGATATTTTTTGCAAATACTCAATAGATTTAAAATCGTATTTGAAATTATTTATACAAAAATCTCAGTACATGTTACTGAGCTGTCCCCCTCAATTCTTTCTTCTACAAAAATGGACTGAGCCGCGCGCACACATTTGGAATGTGGCACTGATATCTTTGATACAATTTGGATACTTTTTGGAGATTTGCACATGGGTCAACCAAGTACGCTTTCCATCGGAAACTTTGTTTACAAATTTTTCACTGCATGGAATGAACAGTGCACGTTCTGGCAATGACACTTTATTTGTATCAGGACACATATATAACTCAAACGTATTTCCATTAGTAAAAGTGTGTCGTGAGACTCGTGATCGTAGAGTCCACTTATATTATTTTTCTAACAATTCCTAATTTTTAAGCTTGTATATTTTTTAATTTACT